TTTTTTTTTTTTTTTTTTTGCGAGAGTTTAATGAATTTTGCGGACGAAAGAGGCACTGGCCCCTTGGGCCTCTCTTTGTTTAGCTGTATTGCGCTGTTGGCGGACGTGTCTGCCAAGCAGACCATGTGCCGCCTAGACTACCTCGTACTCACCAGGAAAAACAAAGTGCTGCATTTCTTACTGACTGAGGTGAGAGTCTACCAGGTGCAGTACATCATGATATCGTGAATTCACCCTGCCATTCCTAGGCAGGCAAGGCTTCATCTTATGCTTCACATCTTCCCTGCGCTTTTTTTTCTGAAGCTCTTGTAACTCGATTGAAGTGTGATAGGTTGCAGTCTTCCAGGAGCTGCTGAGAGCGGCGCGTAGCATGACCCTGTCAGCCAGCACTGCGGTGGGCACTTCCTATGAGCAACTTGGCGCTCCGAAGTCACAAGCAAGTCTTGAAATCTTTCTCATGCATTGTGAAGTTCCCAGGTCCCATTTGCAAACCTTGCATCAGCTGAAAGACTCGGTTCCACCTCCGACGACGCGGAGAGAACAGATTAGGCTTGCAAACGTGTGGGGCAGGATTTCTGCTTGTCTAGCTATCAGATTTTGGGTTGCAGCCGAAAGCTTGCTTCCCCACTTGTGGTCAAGTTTGCAGTTGCAGCAATCAGGCGGAGCTTGCGGGAGCCATCGCGTTCTGCGCGGCCTTCGTCATGGTGTCAATGCCTTCCTGGGAGCTGTTACTTTCAGTTCTCTGCTTCTGAGGACTGTTCCGATAGGCCAGCCTGACTGTGCAGCGGCTACATAGCTAATTACTTGCGTAGAATTGAGTATAATTGCGTGAAGTTGATGACACCTGGTTGACCAGGCCCATATAAAAATAGCTTTGGCAGGATGAAGACCACTTGTGTGACTTCTCCTGCTGCCTTTGCCGACTGGTGCTGCTAAGCCTTTTGGCGCACATTGGATGAACAAGGGCCAACAAGGGTGAGACAAGGCTTGGGATTTCGCGGCTGTCGCCACCCGAAGAGTCCCTCACACTTTGGACAATGGTGGTACAGCAGATGTGTGATGTGTACGTAGTATCTTAGATAGGGACCACTATAGATCTCTAGTAAGAATATTTACTCCTTCCGATTGCAACATTTCGCATGACGAGCTTCATCTTGCTGAACAGCCACCAACGAAACATCACTCATATGTGCGCAGCTACACTAACAAATCATGGCCAGTGGGCTTTGCCGGAGGTGCAGACCATGCTTTGTTGTTGCTGGCTTTGCTTGCTGGTGTGATACTGATACCCGGCAGCATCCGGCAGCACAGCAAGGCATGCGAGCAGCGGGCCCTACAATAAGCCAAACGTCGATGTGGTGCATCTGAATCTGAGGATCGCTATCACAGCGCTTTTTCCAGTTCTGAGCACCGATAGGACTGCTAGCAAGACGTTGCCGGTGACCCTGTGAAAAACATCTTGCTAGCAATGCTATGTAGAAGACATTGGCGTGAGGACTTGGCGAAAAGCTGGTGTAGACTTTCTCCTGGACGCTGCTCCTCTAGTGATCTACGCCGTTTGGCTTGCAAACAGCGTTGGTAGTGAGTGCTTCTCGTGGTGGATACATCATCCCCTGTGTTGATACCTGAGATTCAAGATCAGCTGCTCAAATCCTTCGCTATGAGGCCCAAACTGCATGTACTCTTCTTTCCCCACTTGATTCGTAGTATATTTTTAGATCTTGCTTCTGCGCGCTTAACACTGATCGAATACATGGACCATTGCAGGCTTCCTACTCCAGAGTGTATTGCAAGTTTCACGCGGCATTTTTCTGGGAATCAAGGATGGACCAGGACACTCATAAGCTAGCACGAGCACGGAATCGGACCAACGACGTCGATCAAGAGGCTCCAGGGGCCCGGCAGGAAGAAGAAAACATGAGCTGTAAAGGGGTGCGCTTGGCTAGACCGACGTCTCGAAGGCGCATGCTCGACTCCTGTCGGCCGGAGGCCGGCATGAATTACAGCTATTGCTGTCAGCATCATTCCATGTTTGGCCTTCTCTGCCGACTGTGCCGCCTTCCTGTCATCGAATTTGGTACCAGTTGATTGCACGGCATTTCTAAGACCATTTCTGTCCACGTTTGATGAAGTTGTTCTATGTTGTTCTACGCTTTAGCACCATCACTTCGCAGTGCCTCTACCATCTGCCAAACCACAAAATGGCAGATATCTTCTAAATGCAAGAGAGCTTTGCAACCCACAGCAACTGTAGGTTTTCCATGGTTTTCCCACAAATAGGTCTCAGAAGAACCTCCGCCCTTAATTTCAAAATCCCAGACCCCCGCGAAAGTGCAGAGTGCCGTGATTGGGCACTTTGGTTTGGTCTTCAGGCTTTGTGCTCTAGGCTCGGTTCCGCTGGTCGCTTGCTGTCACGTTGGCTCGTTTCACCATTCCAATGATTCATTGCGGTTGGCTTCTTGAGGGTTTCGGTTCCCATGGTTCCGATTCGGTTCCTGCAGGTTCTTCTCTCTATTGCTGCACGTGTGACTTGAGGTTGTATGTTTGGCCGTGCTTCTTGCTCGCATCGAGCGAATCAGCTACTTAACAGCAGTTGAGAGCTCGAGGTGACATCACTAAAGTGACATGTGCAAGGTACCTGTAGTGCTGCAAGGTGCTCTCATCGCCATGCGCCGTGAAGTGCACCAAGCACAAGAGATGCAGACCTTCATCGGGGCTGTCAAGGACATCAGCGAGGGTAAGTTCGGGATCGAACCCCAGAGCCGCCACTTTGTGCTGGACACACGTGTATTTCTATGGGTGTTCTAGGTGTTGTGAAGGCAGCTGTCAGGACGACCTGCTTTCCTACTGGGCTGCTGTCAGTGACATCACGGAGCCTTGCCGAGCTAAATTGTTGAGCTCGTGGATACAATCGGTTGAGGGTTGTGACCTGCTCCGCTTAGGATCTCTGGTGCAACCGCACGTTGCCACGCCTGGAGCTGCTGAAGGATTTGCAGAGAGTTCCGGCGCCGAACGCAGAGTTTTGCGCGATGACTGGACAGGGAAATTGACTGTGCTGGAAGGAGCTGCACTGCCAACTCATCGCATCCTCTCCCGAGCTGCTGGTGAAAAGTCTTTGCGATCTTAACAGAGACTCCGCGTGATTCAGTTGACAGGGGGGCATCGCCTCGCAGGAGTGCGTGCTAACTGGCAGGTTTGTGGTTAAGAGCCCATAGACTGAAAACTTAGAATCGGATGTGGGGTGTGAGGCATGGGGTGCAGAAGGGAACATCAGATTCTGCCTATTCAGGCCGCCTGTGCAGACTGGAGGAGGCTGTCGGTGATGTGAAGGACTGGCCTGTGGTAAGGAGCAAGGCTTTGGATTTGACGCGTGTGGTCATTGATGGGCTTGACGGTTGCGATTGGCGTACGTTTGTAATTTGTAAGTCAAAACAAACAGCGTCAGCTTCCAGCGGGGTACCCGTTCTTGCTATCACCGCTGGAGGCATATCTCAGGCAATGCGTTGAACAAGCCCATGAGGGCGAAACCGGTACGTATTGCTGTGCCTGAGCAAAAGTGCTTGCAGGCCTCCTGGGCTTGAAGGGATCATCCACAATTCGGGATGGCGGTTTCTTCCACCTGACTTCAAGGAGCTCCAATTCAGTCCTTTCATCATCCTCTCGCTTTGTCTTCAAGCATCCACTACTCGTAGCTAACCACTAGCCAGCCAGGCCTGTGCAGCAAGACGGGTCTTGAAGGCCTTGTGGCCTTGTGAGTCATTTCCATGATGCGCTAGGAATGGTGGGTTGCGCAGCACGAAGGGAGCCTGGCCTTCTTCAGAGAGAGAGCGAGAGGGCTTGGAGATGTGGGCACATGTTTGAGACTTATGCTTCGGTCAGGTTTGTCTTCAAATCCAAGCCAGGCCAATCTGAAAACTGGGTACATCAATTGAGCCAGCAAAGCCAAGCCAACGCCTCGAAGGTTCTAAATGATATATTGTATGAGTTTGTCTTGCAAAAGCTCATGGAAAAAACCTTGCAGTAACTGGACTTTTGCAGCAGATGACCCAGAGCAACAAACAACCAACTCCGACATCGTTGTTGTTTCTGTTGGAAACTGTACAAGACCTATCTGGTCCTGTGAGGGTGGCCAGAGGGCACATGTGTGGGCAAGACAAAGGCGAGCACCGCAACTGCAACCCCGCGCTTCTTGGCTGAAATGCATAGCTTGATTCTGAGTCGCAAGGCTCACTTGGCAGTGTCTTGGCCGTGTTTGCAGGAAGTTCTGTAGTCCAGCCGGAGGTCAGCTTACTTCTTCGCTCGCGGACTTTGGATGGACTGGAGGCACGGCTACTTAGTTATCGCGCTTGGGAACCACTTGCCGGCTGAGTGCTCTGACAATTGCAACACAGAACCATGTCTGGGCACAAGTGGCCCCGGTCGCGGCTCGTAGCCTTGCCATCCCCCGCGTTATGGAAGTAACCAGCACGACTTTACTCTGAACTCGATGGTACTCCTTATCTTGATAATCTCCAGTGCCAACCTTTTGAGGCCACCAGCCTGTGTGGTCCCAACGGGTGGAAAGGCCACAGTACCTGCATTCATTAGCAATGCAGGACGGTGCAGAAGGCAGCTTCTCGCAACGTCTGGACTCGATGATCGTGGAGATTAACAGCGAGGCTACATGCAGCCGTTTCGTTCTGCATCGTGCTCGGATATGTTGGAAGGAGCGCTCTACAAGTTCAGTCTTGCTCTGGGGAATGCAGCATGCGGCAAACTGCAAGAGCCGTCAGCGACTGGTGCACAGGTTGGGCGTCCCGGATCAAGCCAGCTGCCCCTTCAGATGGTGCTCTTGTCGCAAGATAGCTAGCTGGGGACTATCATTGCTGAGATTTCAAGCACACCTATCTCAGCAGCTCCTACTATGAGTGCACATTGATGTAGGTTGGTCCTGCGTGTGGGAAGCCTCCTCGCTCTTTAGGGTTGCCCGTCCTTATGCAGTAATGACTCGTATGGTACTGGCCAAAGCCTTTTGGCCCCTTGTTGGTGAAGAATGTGATCTCTGATATATATCATGCCAAGGCAGACTTCCTCCGAGAAAGCCCTGGACAAAGCTTCCAGGCGAGATCGCAGGGCTCCTTCGACGCTTGGAGGAAGATTGGAATTCCTGTGACGCCTTCGGTGCCAGCACCTTGAACCCAAGCATTGTGTGTTCCCAGCCATAAACAGCAAGCCCAATGCCTGGCAACTTGACACCGGATGATCCGTGGCAAGAAAGCCTGGCCGAATACGAGTTCGTGAGCATCTAGAAGCTCCAAGACTGCGAGGCTTTGCAGGCATGACTAAACTGTCTGCTGCAAGATCTAGAATCTAAACAGCCAGACTTATGCTCAGGACATCGAGACTGGTGCCAAGAGACCCTCGCTTCTATCCTTCATAGGCGGGGCTCGATTGCAGACATTTTCACGGCGTAACGCGGACTTCCTTTGAGGAGAGCCAGCCGGCCCACAGCGCTCGGAAGGCGCTCCAGAAGTTGGATGGTTGTTTCCGCCGTGGGGCAAACTGCAACGATTCTGCTTTCTGGCAAAGTATTCAAAGCTCTGTAGTTGCGTCGCTTTCGTCGGTCTACACTCTGGCAAGCTGGTTTTACAGATACGTGTTGCCGAGTTGTGAGACGGGCAATGAAGAGAGTTAAGCAGCTGGAGTTTCATGCTTCTTGAGCTTGGCTGGAGTAGTGGCTCTTTTAGCGTATTGATCATGGAGCATGGGGTTGTCTCGTGAGTCTAGCGAAATGACGAGGTAGCAAGGCCGATGAGAAGTCATGAGCGTCCTTGCCCGCAGGTGACTTACGAAACCTCGACTCCTTCTGCGCCAGTGCCAGTGATGGGCGTCAGACTGGCTCCAGCTGACATGATGAAAAGAGGCTTCAGCTGGCTCTTCTTACAACATTGTCTGAGAAAGCTCCAAGCCACAACTGGAACTTCGTTTCTGAAACATCAGCAAGTCCTCAAGGCCTTGAGAGGCACTCCCCCTGGAAACTGTACTCAATCTGGCCTAAGGTTTCCCATGCAAACTGCTGGCATGTTCTTAGCTTGCCCAGCCCAATTTGATCCTAGCTCTCAACTTGCTACTGTGATCACAAGCTAATGCCTGCAGCGTGCTGAACTTTGCACAAATGCGTCCTAGCTGTCAATCTGCCCAAGTACAGCAGAGTAGGTAACCCAACAGGAGTCGTATATGAATTGGCCACTTGTGGGGAGTTCAGAGCCTCTCGTCCAGCCCGATCCCCCTGCACTGCTTGAAGGTGATGCTCGCTTGCTGTTTTGTAGGCAGTTGGTCCTGATGTACCTCCTGTCAAGTACACCCGTGAAGTTTGTTTTGAGAAAGTGTTCGTGGTTCCATGAGTTGCCGTTGCAGTTTCTTAGCACTTGCAGCTGAGCGTAATTGCGGGAGTTCCGCCAAGGCTGGGACAGCTCATCGTGCAGGAAGTGATGACCTCAGCTTGCGCACAATCTGATAGAGAAGAGCCCTTGTTGCTGCAAGTCTGCTGTAAGGAGCTAGTTGAAATGACATAAGCAACATACAGTTGGTTTTGCAGTCTGATGCAGGGCAGCCTGGAACGATACATCCGTGGTATTTACCTGTGAGTGAGGTCACCAACACCGCCTGAGGACCTGCCACCTCAGGCCCGAAACTACAGCACGTTGCCTGCCCTCTAGGTCTATGCAGAAACATGCATGCGCCATCTGCACCATCATACTCACTGCAACGCTGTGCGGGCAATGTGCGGCACAGGCATCTGCAGCTCATCTCTGCTGGATGCCATCTCTGCGGAGTCTGCAGCCTCCCCAGATCTCGCCAGCATTCGCCAGCCTTCCCGTAGCCTTTTGAAAGCTGAATAATCTGTTGGAAGCTGCTATGAATGTTGAACCGTGGGCTACTCAGGTGTCTAGGATGGGGGAGTGCGACCCGCAGGGTCTCTCCAACTTGTGCCGAGCATTTGGCCTGCTGCTAAGACCTGCAAGTTGAGCATCCCTATACAGTTTGCACTTTCCTGGGCAAAAGTAGCTTCTGCATGCAAGTTCTCTGGCAGGAATCTCTCATGAAACTACCTTATGCGTTGCATGGCAGACTACGTTCAACTTGCTTATTTTCCGGTGGTTTGTCTAGCGAGGAACGTCGAACGTCCACGGCGCAAACTTGATGACGGCGGCTTCGTCACATTGCATGGCCGAAGCCTGGAGCTGTTATGCGTGTGCTTAGTTTTAAATGCCAACAGTTGCTGCGAGAAAGATGTTTGGCTAAACCTCGTGGACGCAAAACCCTACCTCAACTGGCATCCGTATCAGAACAAGCACGGTCCGTCGAGCTTCGACAAGTTGAGGCGAAGTTCCACAAGCCCAGCCCGCAGAACCTGGGCAACACGGTCTGAAGGTTTGCCAAGGCCGGTGTGTCTCTTGGCAGATGGCTTGAGGCTGCATATCATGCTTGCCGCGCAGATTTGGGTTGACAGTGGCTTGATCAACTGCAGGCATCAATCCAGGACTTCCAGATGCTGCACGCATTGTCCACCTGCGCAACTGCTCGGATGTCAGAACTCCGCCCGCAGGAGAAATGCCTGCAAAGTGTGCTCCTACTGAACTCCTCCCGTACGCTGAAATACCCGGCCAGTGTTTGCTCCAAAATTACTTTGTTGACCTAGGCTGACACCTTCTAACTTGCATTTTGTGTTGCGGCGCTGCCTGCATTGACCACCGGCGCATAGTTTCTGGACCACGTCCTGGGCCAGAATGGAGCCTGTCAAGACAGTGATTGGCTACAGTCTAGTAGGCTGCCTTATACTAGAGTTGGGATTTGGGGCCTGCAGCTGGAAACGCTGATTTGATTTGCAGGAGACTTCCAACAGTGCGTGGAGGCCAGGCAAACCTGGCTTCCGCCACTCACCGTCAATGGATGCGCTGGCGGCAAAGGCAATGAAGGCCACGCAAGCGCAATTCTAAGAGCAGATACTGTAAAGCTAGGACTGCCCCCTCTGCAATTTCTGGCTAAGGCTAGCAAGGGCATGTTTGGTCAACGCAGAGACTTTGCAGGATATCAGTGAGTCAAACCCGCACGACCTCTCCGGCACTGCGTGGTCGTTTGCCACGCTGAGCTTCACAGGCAAACCGCTGGCACTTTTATTGGCTTGTGGCAGGCACTTGACCAGGCCTGGCAGTTTGGAAGGGTTGCTTGCCAGGACACATTCCTTTGCTGCAAGCTACTTCTGGTGCCTCCCTGCGCTTATTGGAAGAGCTCAACTCCCAGGCCTTGGTGCTTGGTGAATCTTGCAGAAATAAACACTGCGGCATTTTCTGATTCCCACTTCGTCAGTGCGTTGCCAGAGGATTCGGCGAACAGCGCGCGGTCGTTTGCAACGTGCCGACTCATGCGCTGCCAGCACGTTCTGATAGCAGTGCTAGGCAAGATTTTTGATGCTTTTCAGAGCTGCTGTCCCAAACAAAGAACAGCGCAGTCATTCGGTTGGGAGCGTTGAGGATCTGCACACTTTGCATGAATAGTTTTCAGATTGCTTTGCTTTGACTGTGTTGGAGGTGTGAATGCGGTTTTTGAGTAGTGGCACGCCATCTCATGTGAGGGATGAAGGGACTATGGGATCTCAGTCCTCGGAAGTGCTGGCATGGGACTCAGTTGGATCTTCCTTGGAGTGTCCTGCTGTGCGTTCCAGCCTTGAAGAGAGGGCATGGCAGTCCAACACTTCCTGCCCCCAAGGTCAAGTTGCCAGAGTTCGCACCACAAGGCGCCTCCCCCGGTGACAACCCGCAGAGCTTCACAGAGCAATCAGCCATCAAGGGCTGTTGGAGAATTTGTTGCCCGCCTGCTGAGATGAAGCTCCTTGAAGGGCACTTCTCTGCGAGAAAGCCTTTTGTTGGTTGAAGGCAAAGTGGGCTCAAGGCAGCAGAGCAGCGCAGAGCTTAGTGCAGCCATCTGCTCATCTTCGCGGTGCCTTGCCCCCGGAGGCCGCAATGCAGCCCTGCATAGCCCTGCAGATAGGACTAAAATACAACATTCCGATACATTCCCTACAGATGTCATGTTGGATCAGTATGCCAGATGGCAATAATTTTAAATGGCACGTGCTCAACAACCCGTGTGCTAGGCCCATGAGTCATCAAATGTGAGGGAATTCGATTGGTGTGCAGGCCATGGCTGACCCTGCGGGCGACAGTGACGTCTTGCCGGCCCAAGACAAGGTCAAGTTCACCGAGGCCGCCTCACGTCTCATTTGTCATTTGAAGGACGGACGGCTCAGACTGTGATGCTTGCTAACGTGCATCCTGGTCCCTCTGGTCCTTAGTTAGTCCCCATCCCTCTAATTCAAGCGCACCAAAAAATGGAAGAGACCTAATAACCCTCGGCGAGACATGTCATACTATGGGGTGGGACAGGACAGATTTGATTTTTTGGGAAGCGATTTTTTATAACCCACGCCTGAACCCTGATCTACTGCTGTTAATTGATTGGTCGAGGCCTTCAACGTTTGGGACAAGCGCCATCCTAAGATTTGCTGCTTATTTCTCTTAAAAAGTCTTGTGAAGTCTGCTTAGGCACCAGCAGGGTTACATCCCCTGGAAACCGGACTTCGCGAATCTTTGGAGATCAATCGGCCTGGGCCATAAACTTTGCTTTGGCTTTGTGCAAGCGACACGATGCTTCTTTGAGGGCAGAACCCAACGGAGGGTGAGATCCGACGCATCATCGAAGAGAATGATACCGGCACAGGCTAGCCCTCAAACCGTTCCCTCAAAGCTGAGTTCGACTGCTATCAAGGACACTTCCAGCTGGAGACTTTCCTGAAGCTGTGTGAGTCGCGTGAAGATGCGCTGAGAAAGGAGCAGCTCATCGAGGCGTGCGCCAGACCCTGAATCCACACCTGGAAATGCTTCATGCCTTAGTGCAGGGGTTGGGACAGGCATTTTTCAATCCTCAGCCAAATCATTCAACATACAGCATGGGCCGGCAACAGGTTTCTGTGTAGAAGCGACTGCGGGGGATCCAAGATGAGAGCAACTGACCCAACACACACACGCCGGACCCAGAACTAGCAGCACTGTGCACAAGGGAAACCACTGGATAGTCCGCAGGTGAGCAGCTGCTTCAAGAATCATGCCATGACAGCTGCCAGATTTCGCAAGGCCTTCAAGACCTTTGACAAGGATGGAAAGGGCACAATCACCCTTGCACAGCTCCGCTACGTGACCCAGGGCATTGGTTTCGCTGAGTGACAGCTTGGGGGCTTGAAGTATAGACTGGGTTTCAGCAGTGGCGTGTGTGTGGTCCAGACCGTATGGTGACCGCAATGGGATTCAACGGTGCAACCTTGCGTGCGGAGGTGTTTTTGCCTTGGGGTCTCTGAGGTGCTCATGCAGCTGGGAGATCCGCTTGATGATGAAGAAGCAGATCAATTTGCAGCATATCTGCAAGAAGTTCATACAGACCAAGTGTGGCAAGTGCCTCTGTCTTGAACTGGATGCTGCCTCGTGCCAAGATAGAATTTGCGGACAAGAACAAAGAGGGGGCATCTGCTGAGATTGACTATGAGGACCTGGTGGAGAGGCCGCAGGGCTTTGCCAAGGGTTGCTGCTTCGCAGATGGATGTGAGCCGTGCATTGTGCGACCTGCATGAGGCTGGACACCCGCGATCAGAAGTTTTGAGTCTTCTCATCTCCGAACTGCGAGCGGGGCATGTTCAAAGCTTCAAAGCAAAGCTGGGTGCTGCTCAGCCTTTTCCTGCCCTATGCAGCCTTCGTCTCACGCTGATATACAGAGTTTCACCCTTCAGCATGTCTGCTGTGCATGGGACCTCCGTCGACTGTTAAAGCAAGGCGTTTGCACAAGCTACCCTTGTAGGTGGTTATCTTTCCAGATTTATCAAGCCAGAATCATCCCTCACCATTTGTCGTAGCAACATCTCTGAGATTTTGAAGTAGTTCAGGCCACATTCCATGGCTAAAGCATCGCCTCCATCCGAAACAGCATGACATAAGGGCACGGGTTCATCAGATGAGACCTCGCTCATCATCAAGATGTTGCCAAACAGCAGTGATTATACTGGAATCCGACCTAGCCAAGATCTAGACAGTCATATTCAATCCTGCCGTCGTGACTTGTTCCTCGGCATTGTGAAAGCGACCCATGTCCACCAAATACCAACTTCTTATATCCTGCCAAACAGGTCTTGCGACGACGGCGTGGGCGCACTCTGCCTTCAACAAGAAGGCTCCGACATGTTCGCTGGCCCCATTGCTGACATTAGCTCCGCTAAACACGTACAACGACATGGAAATTCAGGGCCTTTTGGACAAAGTCAGATTCTGAAGACTTCTGCGTAGCTTGTCAATCATCTTAACTTGCGACTCACATGGCATCGATCTCTGCTGGCCCCAGGATCGCAGTCTGATGGATGCCATTTCCAAGGAGGTCATGAAAAGGTGCTTCCGATTGTGATACCAGATTTACCTGCATTTGGACGCGACCACTGCGGTCAAACCACGCTGATTAAGCTGCTGCATGGCAAGTGAGCCAAGACTTGTGCAGGCTGTACGAGATAGAGCCGCAGTCTTTGGGTATCCTTGTGGGCTCCTCTGTGCAGGGTGAGGTGCATTTTCCAAGGAGGCTCGGCAAGGGCAGAGTGAAAACCATGCATCATGTCACGGCTGACAATGAATCAAAACGGAGCCGTGAATGTAGAACGTAGTCCCCTTCCCGGCCAAGGCTGATGCCCAGTTGGGCTGCCAGCAGCAGCTGGAGCGGGCGCTGAGGCCCTTTGCGCAAAGGCCGCTGCAGTAGACTCAGGCTTGGCATGCGCAATGTTTGCTGGAATGAATGTGTTAGATTCGCGGACCTCATGCCTAAAGTGTTCGACGACTCTGCGATGAGCATGCCAAGACCTTGGAAGTGACTCCAAAGGAGGGTTGGAGATGTCAAAGGCTTTGTCCTGGTGAAGAGATCAGGTTCATGCAGTTTGTGCGGGAGATCCGGGTTGACAACTTTGGTGCTTGGGGTACCCGGCACGTCTTCCAAGAAATGGGGTCAGAAACCCAGAGTGCGTATGAGTCCCTGGCCACTGTTAATTAGCCGTGTCAGCTCATTCTTCCGTTGCCAAGACTAGAAGTCTGAGCAGGCTGGTTGCTCCTGCGAAAGAGTTCTTAGACCGAGCTCAGCACGAGTCACATTCTGAGCTGGGCAGCAACGGCATGCAAAGGCCATTGTGAGTTATAGTTTGCGTGACATGCTGCAAGTCAGGATTTTGAAGGCTGGTGCTGCAGCCGGTGCGGAGGAAGGCAGCCGATTTGAACTTGGAACCAGTTGCTGTCATTGGAGCTAAACCCAAAATCAAAATCTTTACGACCACGCTTCAATCACAAGATTCTTGGTCAGAAGTCAGATGCATAGCAGCATTGTCTCGTTGCAGTATTACGCAAAGCCTGTCGAGTTTTCCATGGGAAGGCGATGCGCGCCAGGGCGCCGCAGCCTTTGCAGAATATGAAGCTGCGAGCTGATGTAGCATCCTAGCGTGCTGGCAGAAGCAGGTTTGCAGATCAGTTGAGAAGCATGAGAATTCAGCGGCAGCTCACAACAGTTGAGAGGCATGTTGCTCCAGTCACTGCAGCGCCCGTCCCACACGCAACCTGCGTTGGCTGCAAAGATAGGAAAGTCATGAGTATTGCGCAGGTTCCCGTTCCACAAGAACTGCAGCAGCTGAGACAAGTTGAATGGGAGCTGCGTAGGATGCAGATAGCGTAGGAGCATACTGAGCAGCCCGGAGTCCTTGCAGCAAGAAGAAGAAGAAGATCAAACAAGAAACGAGCCAACCCTTCATCGGCAGAATGCGCCTCCTAGCAGGGACCTCATGGCTGCCCTTGCTCGGATGATGCAGCAGACTGCACTCGGAGACCTCGATGCGCCTCGGCAGTGAGGCTGAGCTCAGAGGCTTTTGGATCTGGATGTGGAGACATATGACATATGACATGTCACATATTTTGTTTTAGCACATCCTCCGGTCTTACCTGCTCTCCAACCCAGGCCTGATGGAGGACTCCAAGTTGCTGAAGGCTCTGCGTGAAGCCAAGCCGGGCTGGACGCAGCAGGCGAGGCTGCAAGCGATGGCACTGAAAGGGGGGTCTGCTACTTTGGCGGTGCTATGCGGTGCTACTTCGCCTTGTGCTTGTTTTGACCTGTTTGCATTGCTGCTAGGACTTATCAGCTGTGCAGCGGAAGCTTGCGAAGGCCTCTGAAGCTCGCTCTGTTGCTGTTGCAGGAGGCTGATGTTTCTTCGACATTGCTGCGCAGGTTGGCATTGAAAGCGCTGAGGAACTTTCGAGTTCTTTGAGCAGCTCTGGCAAGACTCCGAAGTAGGCCCCTCCCGTAGCAATGGTTGCCCGAGCCATGCCACAGCAATTCAAGGGTTGCAACCGCAATCAGCCAACGAGCACCGCATCGGCCTCAACAACAAACTTCTCCGGAAAGATCGGAATTGCTTTTGCCAGAGCCGCTCCATCACGCGAAACGCTAAAGTGGCTGTGCTCTCCGTTCCAAGGTCCCTTGCTCGAAGCTCTGCATGTTGTAAGGGCTTCGAGGGATTGCTTAGGACATGCCGCATTGTCAGGGGCAAGGGGTGAGTGGCATCCATTGCTTCAAGCGATGGAACTGTTCTGAGGCAACCTGAATGACTTGCTGCAAGGTGCCGGGTTCTTGCACCACGACAGAAATTACGTATTGTTGCATGCCTTCTGCTTCTCTGAGCCGGCCACGAAAATAATCAGCATAGGCATAGAGTGGCATATACTAGACGTTGGGACCTGATGGGCTCAGGAAGTTCAGTGCTGACACCTTGAATGCGCTACGAGAGCGGCTACCTCCTGTTGATGCTCATGGCTCCTGCGCTGTGTTTATCCAAAACCTGGGGCTGTGCTAGGATACTCGTGGTTCAGCTGTCTACTACATGAAGTTCAATGCTTACTTCTGACGTCTGAGCTGCATTTGCGGTCGCCATCTTGTTGGTGCCAGGCCAAAACCCGTCAAGCCGGTTTGACATGCAACAAGGCCAGATGGCGCCAATTTCCTGAGATCCTCTGCAGTTCCTTTGCAAAACCTTCTTTGCCGTTGCTGCATGGCTGCAGGTGCTCAGTATCCGCGAAATGGGTACCCTGTTGGAGGTTTCGGGCGTGCCAAAGGCGGCAAGGCCTGTTGGGAAACGCCTCCCGTGGACCCACCGCCCGAAGCGCGGATTACTGTACACAATCGTATTTATGTTTTGGAGCATGCCGCAGAACGCCTTTCAAATGTGTACAGGCTGGCTTTGGTGGGCCGAACCCAAACAGCGTCTTCAAGCACCACGCCCAGCCTGCACCTGTCATTGATGACAACCCTTGGAAGGCGGCCGGATTTCCAGCGTTAAGCGCTGTTTAACGGGCTTTGGCTTGAGATGAGATCCAGCTGACCAGCCGATCATGGTTTGAATGGGAGTCTTTGGAGTCCTGATACCAAGTGCAGGCTACAGCTCACATTGCGCTAGGATTGGAAAGTGGTTGGAACGCCTGTTCCTGAGCCGATTGCGCCCAGAGCCTGTGTCATGGCGAGCATCTTGGCGCCAGCACTCAGCCTTTCAGACAATTTTCAAATGTGATGCGGGCTACCATAGTGTACCACAGTATACAGAAGTAAGGGTGTACGGAGTAAGTGCACCGTTCTAACAGGCTTGGGCGGCCTTTTCGCGACCAAGGATGTATGAGCAGAATTTCCTCTGTGCGACAAGCCCTTGGCGGGGCATAGGTGCTCAAAGCAATGGCGCGACAAAAGGTATGCAACAACAGGCTCCAACAAAACGTATGCAAGCGGAGATTTGGCGGGCCTGCTAAAGCCTGCGGTTTTGATTTCGAGCTGGTACCAGTGTTATAATAAGCTCCAAGTGGCAGAGTATAGCACATTTTTGGACTGGAAGTTAGACTTCACAACAAGCAACAAGTGCCTAGTCCGTAGCGAGTGATGGCAAAGCGAGGCTATGCCGCAGAGCTCGAGGAGCTGGACAATGAGGAGGATGAGGAAGATGAGGCTTGCACGTTGTGCCACGTGATGTTGGCATCGGGACGGCCGCTTGCACCTGTACGTCCCTTTTGCGTGCTGGATGTTGTGGGATCGATTCTCTGCCAGGAGGATGAAGATGCAGAAGTCAGCTTGTCAGATGACGAGCTGATGACTCTGCTCCATGACATCCAAGAAAGGGACACGTCAGCGAGCTGTCAGGCTTGGCAAGCGAGAACTCTTGATGCCACGGACCCAGGTGCTTGGCAAAGAAAGTTCCGTTGCTGCAGCTGGAGAGTAACAAGCGGGCCATCCAGCTCCTTCGGCAGCTGGACAGACTTGACAAAAGCTCCATCTCTACATTGAAGAACGAATACAAAAGACCCGCAGCTGCAAAGTGAGCTTTGGTAGCTTGGATGGACCGGTGCAAAAATCTAGCAAACCCTTAATCATCTAATCAGATTTAGCGTGTAAAGGATTGAATGGCCTGAATGCTACCTGTGCGCTTGGGTGTCCAAGGACGTGGGTTTGCCTTCGATGCTTCCATCCGCAAGGAAAGCAGCTGGGCTCATTAAGTCCAAGCGCCGTTACACAGGAGTCTGCTTGGCAGTTGGAGGCCGCACGCAGCTAGCTGGCACCAGTCTTTGCGACATGAGGCCTATTGGCATCTCTTAAAGAAGTTGCCGTCTACGAGAATCTGATGCTGGATCGCAGTGGTCCACCGAAACCGTCTTTACTATGGAGCACTAGCCCCTTCCTGTGCCACAGCAGACGCGCCACGCCGCTGATGTGAGTTGAGGAAGCTGGAACACCTTCGCGCAGTCTGCATGAATCACAACCTACCTGCAACCGACGGAATGCGACGTCCAGGCCGTGAACTTCGGCTCTAGATTCTAAATCTGCATAAATCTGCCATGTTCATGAGAAGGTAATCACCCCAACCCCACGAAATTACGGCTCCCCGTTGCTCTCCCCCATAATGAAATTCAGACATTCCGTGCAAAGCAACATCTCTATCAGGAGGGGCTATCCTGAAGTGCCATGGGGTGGTTCGAAGAAGTGAAGGCATGTCAGACAAGATTCAGGATTAGCTCCTTTAGACTCTCAGATTCTCTTCGGTAGAGTTAAAGAGCTGGCTATTCTGGGAGGAAACAAAAACGAGAAACACAAGATCACCCCGTCGGTGACAACCATAGGTTCAGGCCACCGTTCAAGGCGTGAAAGCAATCATGAACCTTCAATGTTGCCCTGTATGTAAGAAGTTGTCAAGTTGTCCCACGTCATGAAACGGGTAATCTTTGGAAAGCTGCTGGAAAAGGTGGTCACCGGAAAGGCAGCTGTCATCAAGGTGTAATTGTTGCCGGATATGAGGAGACCAGTTGATATCAGCAAGTGGCGGGCCCGGTCCAACCGATTCTCAGGCATGGGCTGAAATTTTGAGCGTGCAGATTTCATCATCTACCGTAGCTGCCTGCCTCTAAACCCTAGGCTCTAAACCTTCTGCACATGCTACATTGCATGCATGGCTGGCGAGTGATGTGCATCCAGGGCTTCTGCAGCTTCTGGCGGATCAGTCATGGCACAGCCTTGGCATCCCCGTGGAGCAGCTGCCCAGCTTGGTTGTTGCACACGGTGCTCGATCCTCAGCACATGTCTCGCTGCAAAATGGGCCGCCGAGTGGGCTGCATGTCTTTGACCTACCACCGTCTTCCTGTCAAGGTCCTGGACTCCTTGGCGGCACTGAATTCCAAAAACCTGGCAGATTTGTGTGCACAGTGTCACCGGACGCCTGGAGGGAACGTTTGACTTTTGCGCAGCTGCTGGATAGACGGAATTGCTTGCCATGCTCGCGCTCTTCCACCAAAGATTTGAAGTTCGGGTAGCTACTCCAACGTTCAGTGTTGCATCACAACCGCAAACAAGCAACTGGGGGGGCTGACCCTCTTGTGCAGATCATCAGATTATCAGGATGGGCGTGCCTCTGGAGACCAAGCCTGAGCGCCTTGGCGGCACTGGCAACGAGCATCTTGCTACGGTTTTCATGCTGCGGGGTTGTGACGAACCCAGGAAGCCTGACCTCGTGGGGCGTCTCAGCAAGGCCATCGCAGATGGTTTATCTGACTTCCAACTGGATGCCACGTTGATCTCCAAGAGTGCCCTAAAGTGGGTGTGAATGTCAGGCGATGGTGTGGAAGCAGATGGATGACTCAATCCTCAGGACTTGGGCACGTAGAATGCATGATGATATTGCTGCAAATGCCACTGTGCTGTAGGGATGTCGAGAGAACAGAATCAGTTGGATCGTTGCTTTCTGGCAGGCGGGAGTGCGCCAAGAGGGGAGCTCCTGTGGACGACATCCCGGAGCCGCTTCAACAGCCAGGAGCACCAGACGTGTAAAGATACATGCAGATGTTGCGTCCTCCCTGGTGTGCCTTGGCACACTGGGAAGACGGTCTTAGTTGGCCAGCTTCTTGTATCACCACTGGCGCCCTGGTCACTGCTGTTTACCCTGGCAAGACAAAGGGAGCGTTCTTTGCCAACCGTCAATGTGTGATAGTTGTGCAGGCGTCAAGCTGATTGTCAACAACAGCTGCAAAGCCGGCCGCCAAAAGTTGGAAAGGCTCCCGGGCGGAAAGTTGTTACTGAATTCTGGCATACGGAGGCCTAGGTCTGGCGAGGTAGTGTTTGCACAACTTTCTCATGGCAAGGCTGCTTCTCCAGTCGCTGTGGCTTGACATCTGGAAGGCAGCTGGCATCACTGTCCAGAGCTTGGGAAGCCATGAGGCCGTGGCAGGGCTGCTTTCAGGTTTGAGATCGCATTTGTTAGGTCTCTTTCCTTGGACTCCCTGATGCTGCATAAGTGGCAAATTCTGCATGACGTTGGAGCCACTGTGTGACCGGAAGACCACGTGCAATCTCCTCCTTGCAGCAGCTACTGCCTCGCATGCGCAGAGAGCTTTGAACCCTCCTGCCCGCTGCTTACAGGCAGCAGCGGGCCTCTTTGCCGAGGCCTCCAGCTCAGCACGATTCCTTCGTGTTGGATATATCAGAATAACTGCATCCCAGAACTTCCGAGAAGACGGTCTTTGCAAGATTGAAGGTGGAACGCCTGCACCGGGAAGACTTGCCTGCGATCCAGGCCTCGTGACCACAGTAGCAGAGTACTTACAGCCACGCCACGAAGCAGGCATCAAAGCACAAGTTGAATGCCCGCACGGGAAGCACTAGACTCCCAGCATTTGCATGCTGACCCGGGACATGCGATTCCTCCCAGGAGTGTTCCTCGCAGAAAGCAGATGTTGCATGCCACCTGAATGCAGGAGCGGTATAAGGCTTTGGACCTGCCTCTGCAGCAGGCACCAGACCCTGGCACTGGATTTGTCCTACTAGTACCGACTTTCGCTTCATCTGAGTTCATTTGCTCGCAAGTTGGCTTGCAATATGTGTCTGAGGCAAGAGATTCCAGTCCAGCATCCTTTCGTGCATGTCTTTAGGGCCCCAGTCTGAACAGTTGGAGATTCAAAGCAAACACCAGGTGCAAGATCGGCGCTGGGTGCTTCAGCGAGTCAGCGAGTCGCTCTTCTGGGAAGCCCTGCCGCTTGCTGAACCTTGGCTGGGCAAGTTCGGCTTTTCTAGAAAATTCTACCAGTAAATTAGATAGATGCTTGTGGCACAAACGCGTCGGTCAGCATTTGCAGCTGTAGCTAACCACTGCTGGGTCAGATGAATGGATGTGGTCATGGATCTAGTCAGACCAGAGGTCCGTCAAGCGTATTTTGCGGTGAAGCCCTGAATCAAAGCACGCACATCTGCTGAAGGAATTGCTGGAGGAGTGCGAGATGCGTGCGCTGCACGTTAGTCCTGCCGCAGCTTGACTTGCAAAGTTTCCCAGTTTGACCCAGGGAGACAACGAGCAACACAGCTATCTAAGGAGCGTGATGCAGACCGTGCTGCTGAGACAAAGCCCGTGTTGGTCCGCAGGCTGGTCAAGGACTCCTGCATCCGCAGCTCGGTTCAATCGGAAACGGATAATCGGATATATTTGGATGATGCGCGCTGGTCCTGCACGACAGCGCCACGCAAGCACCAAGGTGCTTGGGTAAAGATGGGCATCCCTGTGGCCCGTCTGGGTGATGCGCGTGCTGCCGCTCTGGTTGCAGAGGAATGGCAGAGCCTGGACAACATCAGCTGCACGGCTGCTATTACTCACCATAGACGTTCTGGCTGCAGCCGAAAAGGACCTCACAGTATTTGCTGGCCATAGGGCACCAAGCCAAGCTTTCTTGAGGTTTCTTAAGCACTTTGACAATGTCTAGTCTGCAAGGTGATTAGCCTCTTCGGGTGTCTCTTGTGGTGTTCACTGCTGTGCGCTGCTCATCACGGAGCCCTTTGAGTGAGAGAATCCAGTGAAGGCAGCGGCGATTTGAAGATCAAGTGCGAGCTTCATGGCGTGCCACCGGATCCCTGGTTGCTTTACAGTCGGTTTACAAAGTCTTCCTCTTGGGCTTGTCCTTGAACATGTTCTCCGACCTCGTCCTGGCACTTTTGTTTCAAGCACATGCTTCCCAGGATGCCACTTTGGAGAGGCACGACTTACTCCAGCTGCTCAAAGACGTGGCAGCCGCATGGCAGGGAACAGCTGCATGAACGTCTCAGAGTTTTGAATCATGCTGTGAGGTTTGGGAGTCAATGCCTCTGCACGAGCTGAAGGCTGAGCTGGCCAAGGTGCTGTTCTTGGCTTGTTTCAGCAGAATTGGTATGCCCCTGAAAGATAAGTCTCTACCAATGCAAAGAGCAACTCTGAGGTCACGGGTCCAGGAGTTGCCCCTGCACCTGAAAAAGGCGATGGTTGGAAGGACGCCGATTGATCTCCAGAGTTGTCGAATAAGATGATGAGGTGATTATTGAAGATTGACAGGCGGCTTCGACTTAGAGGTTTTTTGATGTACGCTCCTTCTCACAGGAGCAAAACGGCCTCGTCGAGCAGCTGCTGCTACTCAGGCTGGCTTACGTTTGTTCAGTTTGTTCTCAACAAAGCGAGTAGCTGCTTCCTCGCAACTTCCAGTTGCAGTCCAGGCAGCAAAAGGCCCAACTCTTTGCTGCAGGATGCCCATACACCCACCTTTCCCAGTCACATCTTCGGCAACATGCTCAGGGATGGAGGAGGGCAGCTTCATAACCAAAAGTGCTTTGAGGAAGGCAGAAACAGATTTCATAGCCCTGTTGTGCTTTGACCTGGGTCCAGGTGTGCCGAGGCCTACGAAGCCAAGGGCATCCCTGCACGACGCATTGGCTCTTTGAAGGCTGCGGCAAAGCTCGCGCAGGACGAAGCCAAGGGATGAGACTTAGTTTGTCAAGAGTCTTCAGACAACTTCAGACTGCCCTGGTTGCACAGTACCTGCAATCGATTCCGCACCAGGAGCTGAAAGACTTGGATTCCCAGGATGCAGCAAGCTTGAAGGCAGACTGCCGCAACCTGGGACTGCCTGTGGAGCACTTGCGCCTGCAGGACTCGAGAGCTTTGAAGAGTTAGCTGCAGCTTGGATTCACTGCAGTGGTGAGCTTGCATGGCAGGAGCTTCGTGATTTACATCGGGAGGTTGCGCTGTGGCGCGCGCTCCCTTGCGGGGAGCTACGCCTAGCACCTTGGGCGCGCAGCTATGTTGTCCAAGCTTGGCAGTGGGCCGGTACAATGGGCTGGGCTGTCAACTAGCTGCCCTTCAGCCGCTTGCACTTAGACTGGGCTCCTTGCTTTGGAGTAGATAGATCGAACATGAGGGACCGCTTTGGGACGTTTGTAAGCTTCGTGTGCTAAGGAGTGCCGCGCGCGAAACGTGTCCTGCCCCCAACCGCAAGGCATGGTGTCCGAGCAGGCCCGCTTGCAAGGGTGGGCACTCGAGCTGCTGTTGGGCCATGTGCCATTGTTACAGGAGCTGAAAGAGATGCTTGTGGATGCTCTGCTCGTGGAGAAGTGTGAGGCATTCACGGGTGCAAAGCAGGTGTGCGTTTAGTGAAGTGAGCGTGTTATTTTCTCCCAGGCTGAGGGACTGTTCCTCTTTATTTGCCCAATTTTGCCCATCAATAGTCCTCCGGGAAAGAAATCGTTTGACCAGCACTTGCCCAGCATGAGACCGTGGTCGACGGCCGAGTGTTAGCCGTTTGGCCAGGCCTGGTACGAGCGCCGTGGTGTTCCGGTTCGGCTGCTTGGCGATGGGAAGCTGTGTGAATATACATACCGTGCAGGATGCAAGGGTTTGCTTCGTCATTCCATCCCTCAGTGTCCTGCTTGTACGCATGCGAGGCGTTTGGGCTCAGTAACGGCGGCTGCTCGCTTGGCAGAGCGCTGGGAACAGCTGGACCAGCTCAGTGAAGGCCATGGCACCGCAATCCACAGCTAAGTGCTTGATGTTGCATCACTCGCCCATCCCAGTCTATTTCAAACTCGGAACAAACTAGGGCTCATTTTAGTGTTTGCCTTGGGCGTGGCAAAAGTGACCACGTAAGGCTTGTGCTGGGCCCCATCACTCAGCCACACCACTTGCAGGCGGCCTCCTGTTCAAGGCCTCTGCTTTCAGATGCTCCGCTTATTCAGCACTGGCTGTGATCGCTTTGGGCTCTCAACATTCGGTACGCTTAGATCGGGGAAGGCCCTCTCCCTACAATACCCACCTGCTCAAAATATAATGCATCCTCTGGTCTAGAGATGTCCTTAGTAGATCCAGTGCGCAGATGCTCCTCTTGATATTTGTTGGCCTAGCTGTGGCCCGTTCAAGCACGCGGTGCACGGAGATCGAGAAATTCCGAGATGGCTTCCACGTGTGCGTGCTAAAATGGGTTGGCCCCTGCAAAACTCCTACATGCCCAAGGCATCCACGTGGACAAAGACCTCAAAAGGCTTGGGCATGTTTCGGAACTCGCGCCCAGAAATCATTCTCCAGGGTAGAAGTTTTTCAAGGGCGGAGATGGAAGTGCTGAGTTCACTTGTTATGCGTTTCCGGAAGGTCAGAAGTTATGGAGCGGATCAAGCAAGCAATCTTGTGGAGTGAGCTGCCCCTGCGCGAGCTCCAGAAGGTCCCTTGCACATGTCGGGTGGTTGAGTTCCAACAGGGTCTGTCGTGTCCAGATGAAGCGTGCTGAAAAGACATGTCATGTAGTGATGTATTCTGCAGTGCTTCTGAACCTTTAGCAAGAATTTGGCTAGCTCAAGATGCGTTAATTGCTGATGTTATCTTGTCGGGTTATCAGCAGATCCATTGTCATAGCAAAGGTTTGCCGCGAGCACAAGGTCAACTCCGTCGCACGCGAGAGCCAGAAGCATCTAAGCTAACTGAGTGCTGAGATGCGTGACGGTGGCTTGAAAGTTTCTTGAGAAATGCTCAGCCACATGCGCCTGAAAGGAAGGAGCTGTTGCACCGCCTGGCCTCTGCTCTCTGGCCGCCGCCGCCTCCAGAACCGCCCCGGCCACCTCCGCAGCATGGCAAATCGAAGCGCAAACTGGTCTCACGATGACGTGAGGGTTCACTTAGCTGATATTGCGGTTTTCGCGGCACACACAGCTAGGCTAACAATGGAAACGTTGCTGCGAAGCTTTCATGTTACCTTTCAACAGCGTGGTCTTCCGCGTGTGCAGGGTTCCCCAAGGAACTTCAACAATTTCGGCCCGCGGGACTGGCAAAGGTGCGCGACTTGTTCTGCATGCGCTCAGGGACTAGGAAACTTGGGAACCCAGCTGTCGATCTGCCACAGGAACTTCAAAAAGACCAACATGCCGCCTCCAAACCTTCCAAAGGCCATCAATCCTAAAACGCGTGGAACTCAGCTACGCTACTGTTCAAAGGCTGACCAATGCTGCCTTCTTCGGAGCGGTGATATATGGCATGAGTCACACTACACCTAACTTGATTCGAAAGATTATTAAAGCTGGACCTCGCTTCAACTTGCAAGGCTTCTCCCTCACTTCAAGACGTTGGGCCTGGCTCCAAACTCAAGCCCTGCGGATGCTCGGATATTCAGTCCAAGGAAGGTAGGGGACAAGCGCGACAAACTGCCCAAGCCGCGGAGACAGTGCGCATGTTTCTGTTCTAAGGACGTGAAGAAAGCTTATCGCAAGCTGGCACTGAAATACCACCCGGACTGCATGTCAGCATGTGCCGGTCAGCGGGGTTCGTCTTAACTAGAAAGGTTGCTGTGCCCATTTTCAGTTGTGTGTCGATTGCTTCCACCCCCCCCCCCTTCAACCAACCGGAACTGCTTTGAGGGAAGCTGCAGTCTGCAGGCACTTTGGCTCTGTGAGCACCAAAAGGCGCCCCCAGAGCTGTAGATTGGTACAAGGCGTCATGGCCCACACAATGCCGAACCTCACGATGTCGTCGATGCCTTCGCTGCCAGCTTCTCCGCTAAGCGCCCGGGGACTTGATGAATCCATATCCGGGGACGCCTGGCCCGTAAACTCCACTTGCAGGAGATCGTGATCCAACAAGAAACATTTAAGTAGTCGAAGGGCTGAGATGAGACCCGACAGCGTGTTGCAGGGCTGCTATTTCCCTTTTGCTAGCTTCTCAACTCCAATCCAAACTCATGGGCCCACCAAGGACGTGACATATAGACTTGGAGGTCAGTTTTGGCCCTCCCGCTGCTTTGCCAAACTGCATGGAGATTTGCTCATGCTCCAGCGAAGTGGAAGGCTCGCATCCATGTGCCATGCTTGCGAAGCCCGTATTCCCCAGCAACGAGTCCTGTTGTTGACGGTGCCGCGAGGCAGCAAGCCGCTGTTTCCTTGACTGGCGCGAAGGTGGAAGTGACATCGCAGTGCACAGTCCAGATCGAGGTGCGCTAACTTCATATTGAGTTATGACATTACTGCTGCAATATATTCATGAGAAGCGCTGGAGGCAACTGGCAGTCCATCGCTGTCCTTGCGTCTCAACACTCCTGAGGCAGGGCGGGGTCAGCAGCAGCGCGCAAAGTGGTATAGCCGCAAAGTGATGCCAGCGCTTGCAAGGAGGCGATGAGATGGTGCCAGGTTCTGCGACGTGCGATTCAACGCTCGCGAGGCAGGGGCAATTACTTGATGGCAGTCAAGCAAAGGATCGACACCACGGCTTGCATCACCGTCCTGACGTTAAGTTGTCATATGAGCAGTCGGCAGAGCAAGTGCTCTGATACAGCAGTCATCATGTGCTACCTGCAGGTTTTCGCGACTTAGTGTGCTCCTCTCCGCTGATCAGCCCGCGCGGTGCTTCGCCTTCACCCCGCGGCGCCTCACCATCGCCGCGTGGTGCATCACCCTCACCACGCGGTGCCTCTCCGTCTCCCAGAAGTCAGGCCAATGCCGAGGAAGAGGACCTTGCAGACTGTTGCGGAGTCTGTGCAAGCCAGGTGGCACGTAGTGAGCTTGCAAAGGTTCCCTGACTGAAGATGTCGATCAAGCTTGCAGAAAGCGTAGAGTGGCAGAGTGCTACCAGTGTCAGGAACGCATGGACCAGTTGCAAGCACAACTTCGAGAGAAGGAGGCGGCTGCCAAGGCTGCCCAGATCTGCCCAGCAAAGGGGGCAAACTGTGAGCAGCTGTAATCCTGCCATTCCTGCCTTGTGAGGCCCTGGGCGAGGCTCAAAATGCCGCCATGGCAAGGGCTGATGCCGCCGCAGATGCAAAGCAAGAAGCCGAGGCTGACAGCAAATTGTCATGCCAAAGGAAGTGCTTTTGGTCACGTTCAGCTGCTAAGGTGGCTAAGTAGTCCAAAGAGCCAGTGAGAAGTTGAGGCATAGCAGGTTACATCCTTGTACTGTGGCAAGTCAGGGTTAGCTCTGACCGGGTATTTCTCTCAGAGCAAAGTAAAGCAAGGCCACGAGAAGCCCCAAAACTTGACTTCTGGGCTGGGGACTTTGAGCATGTTTCAAGCGGTGCACCAGAGTGGAACGACAGGTCCGCGCGAAGCTTGCGGAGCAATCCCTGCGAAATGAGCAAGGGCTGCGAGATGAACGCGAGAAGAAGCTGCAGGAACGAATTTGTTGCACCAAATTTGCACCACACAATCACACCAAATAGGTGCTGCAAATGAACTGCCTGAGCAGCTGGCTGGTGCTGCTGCTGGTGCTTTGGTCGTGCTCATGGTGATGGCAGCTGCGGCGGTGGTGGGGGCGGTGGTGAGGAGTGTGAGTAGCAGCGTTGGCAGTGGAACAGCATTAGGAGAGTGAGGAGAAGCGGTGGCAGCAGTGGTACTGGAACAGCAGTCGTAGACTTGAATCAGCAAGTTTCCAATGCCATCAATCAGATTGCATTCGCTGCAGAGGCTGCGCTGGAAGCAGCTCGCGCCTCACAGGCCTCAACAACACTTTGTGAAGCACTTTGAGTGAGTGCTACATGCTCGAAGTCATGAAAGCCTTCGGCGGGGTTGGGACGGTTTTCATGCATCTTCATCGTGCCGCAGCATATCGGTTTGCCTCTCTTTGGCTTCATTTCCTCGGGAAGCCTGTCAGAAAGCAGCAGTAGCAGCAGCCGCCGCAGACGCAGCCGCAGCCGCCTGTCGCCACCGCCGCCGAAACGCACAATTCACACAAGTGCATAGTCAGCTCTACATCGGTCTAGCTTTTGGGTAAGAGCCTGCGCATTTAAAAGAACCACCTTGAGTTTGGCCTAGCGGCAAATGCCCGCGGCATGCATAGTGGCATAGCTTGTTTGAAGGGAAGATGGATGCTGGTTGCGTCTACCACTGCATGGAAGGCCCAAGCAGAGGAAGAAGCTGCAAAGTGCAAGCAGCAAGTTGGGGACATGCAGATAGAGCTGGCAACGCAGAAGGCCTGGCGCTGAACTGGCATGCATAATTTGTTGGGATCATTTGAATTATGCCTTGTACACATGTCTGTTAATGCAGACAGAACCATGTGCTTCAGCCTTCTTTTTGCTTGTCCGTTTGCGGCTGCTAAGCCCCTTCAGGCTGAAGTGAGCTCGTTGCAGACCTTGCTTTCCACAGAAGTGGAAGAACGCAAGGTTCAGCAGGCTGAAATGCAGTCGCACACACATGCCCACCAGGCTTTGCAGGACATGATATCCGCTTTGGAAAAGCAGCTGTCGGACGTGCAGCGTCGAAAAGCTGCAGCTGAGCACCGCTTTGCAGCAGAGGAGGCGTGCCGCAAAGCCTTGGAGGAACGTTGCGCTGGGGCAGAGAAGCGGCACCATCAGGACGAGCAGCTTGCTGAGAGCCTGGCGGCCTCTCTCCGAGAAGCCAAGCAGTGCCTTGCTTCAGCAGAAGCTGGCCGTGAGGCTGTGGCAGACCAAGCCTTGGTGGATGAGCGTGCCGCACGGCGAATCGCCGAAACTGCTCAGAAGGCGGCACAGGATGAGGCTGAGAGCTTGCAAGCTAGATTATCTTCAGCTGAAGCCAAGGCAAATGAGGCGGAGGCCCGGGCTCAAGAGCTGCAGAAGCGGCTGGCTGCCATAGAATCTCGCGCAAAGAAGGCTGAGCAGGCACCAGACTCACCACGCAAAAAGGCTGAGCAGGCAGAGCTTGCCCGTAAAGAGGTGGAGTCTCGGAACCACGAATTGCAAAAGCGCTTGGCGGCCGCAGAGGCAAAGGCCAAGAAAGCCGAACAATTGGAAGAAGCCCGCAAGGAAGCTGAAACTCGTGCGCAAGAAATGCAGCAACGCCTCTCTTATCTCGAGGCGGAGATGACAGCCGTACAACAAGCAGCGCTTGCTTGCAAGGAAGCGGAGAAACATTTCCAGGACGTACAGAAGGAAGAAACCAAGAAGATGGAAGCAATCCAGGTAGCACGCCGAGATGCGGAAGCACGAGTCAGCCAGCTTCAAAACCAGGTCTCCAGCTTGGAGACAGAGCTTGCGCGGGCTAAGGATACTGAGTCCCTCCAAGAGGTGCACCTTGCAGTCCAGCATGATGCAGAAGCTCGGGCAACGGACTTGCAAAGGCAATTGTCCGGTATGGAAACTGAGCTGAAAGAGGTGCAGCAGCTTCGCTCCGACAAGGAGAAAGCAGAAGAGAAGGTGCGAAGCCTTGAGGAACGCCTTCTAGTCCTCGAGGACCGCGCATCTGCGCCTCTTGCAGTCTTGCAGTCTTGCCAGTGATGCGCTTGTAGCCGGGTTGGGTGCAGCTTTGTTACAGGAAGGGATGGCTTCTGCAAAGGCCGCAACAGAAGCGCAAGCGCAGGAGCCTCCCACACTGGCTTGTGCAGTCAGAACACTAACGCTTTTGATGCTTTTTGAGCTTAATTAAGCTACAGTTGCCCTGGCCAGTGAAGGATCAAGTGCAGGATATGCAGCGCCGACTCGAAGCTGCGAACCGACGCCTCCTCGCGGAGGCAGAGGGTTGGGGCGCGGAGGGGCAGGTAGTTGCAGCGGGGTTCAGCAAGCAGTAGATGAAACTTGTTCGAAGGCTATCTTTCGGCTTTACGAGGGTGAGCGTCCAAAATGATTTGAGCGAAGGAAAGCACGAAAGGAAAATCAATGACAAGCAGCATGATTCAGTCATGTCCAGCGTCTACGAGTTGTGAGGTACGTACCATTCTTGGTAATGGGTCCTGACCCTTCGTCACCCGAAAGCAGTTTTCCTGCAAAGTCTCCCGGCGATCAGTCACAGGAGAAACGCCAATCCAACTTGAGAATGCAATTCCATTTCCAGAAATCGCACCAGGGTTGTGGCGAAAGTGTTGTGGAAGACGTTGCGAAAACTCAAGGGTGCTGCAAGCTAATAGAACCAAAACTTGCAATTATACAACAAGGGCCCCCAACAGGATTTTCTTTTTATGGTTCCAATACAATACATGTGGAATACGATCGGAGAATGCACTTCATCCACTGTCTTTTAATTACCTGGAATGCACCTTCAGATACTGTCTGGAATGTGGTTTGCATTCACTTAGACTACAGTTTCAAATCACGATGGGATACAGGTTGGAATGGAGGTTGGAATACGGGTTGGAATACGATTCCGAATACAATTTTAAATGCTCCTCAAATGCGCCACAACAGTTTCAGCAATTTCCTGCTGTCTTGCTGCAGGGGGGCCTCAAGCTGTGCAAGACAGTAGGCCCAGGTAGCATTAAACAAGTATAAAAATCGTACTCAAATCGCATTGAAATCGTATTGAAATCGTATTTTTTCTGGGGAGAATACAGCTTCCCCAGAAAAATACGATTTGAATACGAGCTTTATACGATTCTTGTATTCAAATCGAAGTAAAATCGCTTTAAATCGAGGAAAATACAGTATCCCACAGAAAGATACGATTTCAACACGATTTGAATACAATTTGGAGGCAATTTGCCTGCCAGAGCTGTCTGCACTCCTGCCCTCAGGAATGGCCCCCCGAGAATGCAAAAATAATACAATTCCAATATGAGCTATAGTCTAAACTCCTTAAGGGGTATATAGGGGATTATATAGGGACTATTACAGGGGTTATTAAGGGGGATACTAGGAGTTTAGACTGTAGCTCATATGGTGCCAGCAGCGCCTTGGATGAGCAAATCCGTCCCATAATGCAATCTGACCATGACCAGGCGCCGAAACTTAGACCCGACAGTGGCAGCTTCCATTCAAAGATATACCAGGAAATACTCTTCTACAGACAACCAGGTGACTACTAGCTGGTTTGTAGTCACTACTACCTGTACCTTCTTTCTGCAGTTGCCAGATATCTATTTGAATCAAGAGGCGCAATGTATTACCAGGTGCATTTGATTTCATATTTTTCTGTATTCCCTGGAAAGTGAACTAATTGTCTTGGAATTGTATTCAAAGTGTATTCTGGCCCTTGAGCGTATGCAACCTTGTATTTGGGGGGTATTGGGGGGTGGCGCAAATCGTATCGAACGTGTATCTAGATTGTATTCATATTCAAACTGTATTCCCAAATCATATCTGGGCCCATATCCAAACCATAAAAACAAATACCTGAAATTTTCCGGTTGTATTAGGAATTGCAAGTCTTGGGTAGCTTGAATGTCTTCCCATCTAGCTCTTGAAGTAAATGTCAGCAGTAGTTATACTGGCATAGAAAGGAAAATGCTCCTCAAAAGTGTTGAGAAAGAAGGCGCAAAATGAAACCTTCTTTTTGGCAACAGTTGGCCACTTCATGCCCCGTCCTAACTTTGAACATCCGCCAGCGAGTATTTGCAGGAGAACTGCCGCAAAGTGGCCGAGGAACGTGGTGACGGCGCTGTATCGTGGCAGCAGTCCTGAGAAAGGTTCAGGTTTTTGCCAATGTTTGAGGTGAGTTTGGCATTCTTGATGGCAGCTGATGGCAGCCCAAGCAAGCATCGAGACGTCTGCTTGTGTCCGGCGGTAGATGATGTTAGATGGGAACTGAGGAGAAGCGACTTGTAGAGGCTGAAAAGCAGCTGGATGCTTGGCCTCACGTTATGTCAACCTGTATTATGTGCATTGGTCACCGGATTTGATGTCGGGAATTGCTTCGTTTCATTGTCGAGTCTCTAAACTACCCTAGAGCAGGCTAGTAAATTAGCATTACCCGCCTAATCTGGACCATGACGCGACCTGCCCCCTTCCGAAAGAACATCGCTTCCGTGCAAAACCATTTCAGACCCCACTTGCTTTCCTAGGGGAGAGTCTGTCGCAGCGGATGAGTTTTGCATTAGTACTTGCCGGGGTTTCATGTGCTGTTCGCTGCATCCATGCTGATCGCATGCATCCCAACCGTCCCTATCACTCTTTCTGATTTGTGGAGAATCCCTGAGCACAGGAGACGCTGGCGATGCAAAGTCCTCGGAGGCTATCAGGCCAGATTTGTTGTGCTTTGCGGGAGCATTGTTATGAGGTAAGATGAGGTAGGCTTTTCGGTCCTGTACTCTGTGAATTCAAGTTGGAAAGCGGGACTTTAGGGTGCCAACACTCCTGCGTGAATCTCAGCTATCCGTAGGGATCCAAGTTTATCCAACCAAAGCCGGTGTCGTTTTCTCGTATTGCTCTCGGACTTAAATTAATTTGATGCTAGAGCTGCAGGAAGTCTTACGCACCTGCTTACCAGCACCATCTTGCACACTTTCTTCTGGCATTCAGTGCGCGAAGCCCTGCCAAAAGGCCCTTGGCCCGGTTAGGGCGGGCTGTCCACTCGGGAAGGATCAACTTTGAATGTTCTGGTAGCCTGAAATCCATCCTCATCCGCAAGGAGAATGGGACGTGGAATCACCAAAGCCCGTGCCATCAGAGGCATCAATGTCAACAGAGACGCGCCTCGTCTGACTAATACAGTGTCTGCTGCCTGCACAAGAGCGCGCAAAAAGCTGGCGAGCTCAGCATGTCACGAGCGGTTGCTATACCAATGCGTGCTGCAGTCACCCATGTCTTGCAGGCCTCTGATATCTGTTGCATGCAATACTTGGCAGGTACGAGAACCACCCACACATCCCACAGGAGGGCAATGATATGTCTCAGCTTCATGCACTCCTTGCTGCAGCCGAACTGCAACCTGCTTGAGCTTCAGGCATAGTTTTCTTGTTTTGCAGGTGTACACGCCAGGCAGGCCAGGTCTTGGTATTGATGTGAACTGCAGCAAAGCTTAATGTGCAACATTCATGTGGTTTATCCCAGGACAACGAAGCATAAGGACACAAAGAACACTTAAAAGAGCGTAATTTTGGCTTGCGCTGTCATGAAGCTTTCGAGGAAAGCCAGCGAAGAGTCCCGCGCTCGACACACGGCCCAAAAGCAACTCATCCAAGCCATCAAAGCAGCCACAGCACCTTGGCAAGCCAAGGAACCCACGGGGGTACCCCAATAATGGGTCTATAAAAGTACCGGTAAAGAAAATGGAAACTACAACAAATGCGGTTATAAGGGGTTACATAAGACATAAAGGGCAATCCGTTGTCATAGAACTGCTTGGGCCCCATGATGTGGACTGTGGTGAGCGCCAATTGGTTGCACTGTATTGGTTGCACTGTATTGCTAACAGAAGCATCTGTTTGCAGTAGGAGGTTGAATTTGGGTATGCAAGCTGGCACTGGTTGCATCGCAGAATGGCAGCTACAGATTCTTGCACTTTTAAACTACTACTACTATTACTACTACTACTACTACTACTCCTACTCCTACTCCTACTCCTACTCCTACTCCTACTCCTACTGCTGCTGCTGCTACTACTGCTACTACTGCTGCTCCTGCTCCCCTACT